GCTTGATGAGAAGGGGAAGACAGCTCTGATTGACAGTCAGGAGGGTGTTTCTGCCCTTAGTTACAAAAGTGCAGATTTTTATAACTCAGCATTTTTATAAACTGTCAAAAAAAATTACAAACTCTAGAAACAGTCTAGACTGTTCCTTTAAATACAGACACAATTTGCATAAAAATGGCTCTTGAATTGCTTACAAAAACAAAAATGAATCTAGCAAAGATACAATCATTCCGACAAGGAGAGAATGGGCGCCTCTGCTCATTCTTTACAACTACAAGCCCCAAAATGATTTTCTCAATAAAAAAAAAAAAAAAAAACAGCTATCCTGTTGATTTCAATGTCCATACAGCACAACACAATTGTACACAGATACATATGAATGGCAGTCACGTCACTGTTGACTTATGAATATAAAAACACCAAAGTAGAAATACTATTTTTTACTTTTGTTCCATTCAGAGTCCAGCATTGGCTAGATTTTAAGACGTTAACTACTCGCTCAATGACACACAAAATGATAGCTTGCATATTTTACCTCCACTATCTGTTGTTTAAGTTTTCCAGTGTTATAGGAACAGTAAACCTGAATAATTTCGTTTTGATCGAAAACATTTTTTCAGTGGCTCCTTACTTTCTCTCTGATTCCATGCAACATTTTAATGAGAGTGGGTATACTGACTAATAGGTATTGTCTTGTGTTTGTCCTAACTGGTCTTCCTTGCCTGTGTTGCCAACTGATAGTACCCAACTATTTCCAGTGGGGTGCTTGGTAAAGTTGTTTGGGTTTATTCATTATTCATTTTCTTTTTCCATTGATTTTGTTTAAGTATTAACCTAAATGTAAGTAAATTGACACAATATTGTCATTTTATATAACCAGGACAACCCTCTGGCACCCAGACAGACAGATAATCATTTATTTGCAAAAAAAATGTAACCCACCTCCCCACTTTTCCCACCAAACACACTCAGTGCTGATACCAAGAATTGCTGTGGAGGTAGGTGTGTATTACACTTACCTCCTACTTTAGAGCACATTCGGTAATTGATTCAATAGCAAGGGAAAGAATAACTGTCACTATTAGAAAAGTGGCAGGTCTTTTACAAAATCGAGAATATTGTAAAGAGAGAGCAAATCATGCAATCTATTATAGCATTTTATTGATTTATGCTGTAAACATAACATTAACAACTAGTGTAAATTAGATCCAAGTTCGGATCACGTACTTGATGAATTAATCTTCCTGAAGATTGTTTTAGTTCACAAGATCAGTGAAAGTAAAATTAAAAACATGGCTTTCCACTGTATTCTCGCATTTTAAATATCTCGAAATATATGCAATAAGGAGGCGTTCTGCATCTCAGAGGCATAATAACATTATCATACTGTACAGTAAGTGGTTTGTGATTTACAATATCAGAAAGCATTTATACAATCCATGTTTAACAAAAATGACATAGCAGATAATTGAAATTTATTTGCAATTTTCAAAGTACAATAAACAGATTTCTCCTTTCCTTTCATTAATAACCACATAACTAATGCATAACAATCCCTCTGCAGCTTTTACAAGCAAACTAGAGCTGCTGGGTTGTAATAGCTGAAAAAGTTAATGTAGCTTGAACAAGGTTCCTAATTGTCCCTGTCTCTGTCATATTTGTCTACTTGAGTGGTCCTAAATACCACAGCGATTAATTACGACAGAGCAGGTATTACAAGATGTTATCCTACTTCCCTGGCTGTCTGGGTAAATGAAGAGAAGCCGAAGATTGTTACAGTGCTTCATCTTTGCACTTCCTGTAAGGCAGTTTAACCGGAAGATTTAATGTGTCAAAGTTAACCAATGTTCTGTAGTAGATATTCCCTTTCTAATTAAAGATTAGGGAACACAATGCATTACACCCTGATTTGTCATACATGGCTTGTTAAATCAAAAACCTCTTGGGATTCCCAACGTTTCATAAACAATTTTTATGGCTTTATACTGTATTTCAAAACGTAACGTGCATGTATGTTTGGGGGGGTCTGCGTATATGATATTTATATATGAATATAAAGAGAGACAGATACATGGACAGGTAGACAGACTTGCAGACCAAAAGACAGACAGACACGGGAAGATTATTGCATTTTGTAACCATCACCTGTTTCTCTTTATATAGCAATAATGTGAAAATGATGTTCTTATTACTATAACGTCCCAATTCACTTTAAATCGTTCCTATATCCCCACCATGGTAATAGCATCTGGCCTAGTTACTTTACACTAATTACACATCAGCATAATTAGATTAGTTTACACTTGATGTATCAGTTTATATACACACATTTTTTGTGTATATTGTAAGCTCTAACAAGCAGGATTCTACATCACCTATCCGTCTGTTTCAATATCTCACCAAGGCTATGCTATATCAATGACAGGGCTCACAATCTGCTGGAAAGGCATGCCAAAAAGGGAATTAAATTAATATGGAGACATGCATGTATTATATTAAATAATAATAGTTTTAATTCAAATCTTTTAAGGTTTTAAACTTTTTAATGGTTGCATTAACTCTGTGTATCAAGAATAAACATGTGTGTGACATTTTCTTTGAAATTATCTTTATTTTACTTATCAAAGTAATATTGACAAACCAATTGTATCGATTAACGGTTTTGCGATTTGCCATTATTTTTCCCGATAGTTCCTTAAGGTTACTCCTATGACTGGCAACATTTATGTTACAGTTCAGATGCTCATCTTAGTCAAAGTTTAGCGTTCGTACCTATGATTCACTTGTGTTGCTAAAATCAGGCCTGACACAGTTCTCCCAAATGAAGCGGTTGTGTTTCTTTTATTTGGCTGTTTGGTTTCTTTACCTTCTACAGTTTGAGACAAAATGATGGCTGTGGTTATATTATGATTTATTTAGAAAGTTCTGACATATTCTACAGAACTCTCCCCTTTGAATGGAAAACATACAAATAACTACCAACAAGAAAATGTATGCACAGAGAAACAAAAGGTGAGGAGGTCCCTGTTCAATCAAGCGTATAGCATAAAAGAAGAAGTATTCCACATTGTGAAATCTGAATGCACTATATAAAGAATAACAATGATCACATGAAATGTAAAGTATGTAGATTAAAAAACTAGATTGCACGGTGTACACACCATATCAATTATAGCATTATGGCTATTGATAAGCAAAAGTCATGTTATTATCATATATGTATATTATCCAATTTATATATATATATATATATATATATATATATATATATATATATATATATATATAGAGGATAAAGAGATGCACTCTCAGGACTTTGAAAAAATAGTTAATTTATTCCAGCAGGTATAACATCAAAGTTTGCCGACGTTTCGACCCATTCGGGTCTTTCTCAAGGACCCGAATGGGTCGAAACGTCGGCAAACTTTGATGTTATACCTGCTGGAATAAATTAACTATTTTTTTCAAAGTCCTGAGAGTGCATCTCTTTATCCTCTATATATTTTATCTACATGGGATTGCACCAAGGCGATATTGAGCTACACATTTGAAAGGGTGAGTGCCAAGAAAAACATTGTTTTATATATATATATATATATACGTATTGATTTATGGACTTAAGGTTGCAATCAAGTTAGGGTTTTTATACACACACACACACACATATATATATATGTATATATGTGTGTGTGTGTGATTTTTTTTTTTTCAAATATGGCTTACAGGTAGGATAGAGTATTGCCTGTTTGTTTCTTTTTTTTATATAATTTCCTTACAATGTTTTCCCAGAACTCTACCATCCAGTTTTTCACAGCATGTTCCATTCCAGGCAAGTTTATGAAACCCTCTCTATGAGATGCTAACTCTTTATCATGTGACATGGACCATGTCAAAATTATGCATTCATAATTCTGTAATAGATTGAGGAAACCACAATGAAGAGCAGGTGCCCAACTGCATTTCTGTATATGGGGAAACAGATTTATTGAATTGTAAAGCATTACCTGACTTCACCATTATCCTTTTATTCCAACCCCCCAGGTCCTGGGACTAGTCAACCTTGTCCAAAATAAAGGCCTCATATATCGCACCCTTTTATGGACTGGAGATAAGAACTACATCCTCTGCAATGTTTTTATCAAAGATTCTAAGAACGTAACGGTCAGTAACGTGGAATCATTTCCAGACACCTATATAAACCTTAAAATGACACATGGACAGATACGTTTTCAAGAATAAATATTTCATGATGTTTCATTTTCATACAGTTGTAGTTTAGCCATGCAGTGTCATCATCTTTTATTTTCTGTGAAAAAAATTAAAATGCTGTTTCACTTTAATCTTGTACATTGACCTGCAGCTGTTCATAGTATTTTTTTAACAGTATGAACATTAGATTTCTATCAAGGACATATGATTATTTAGAGCACTGAGTCACATTTACACTTTACTCTTTTTAAATGATTTATGCAACATTTGATTTTTTAAGTGGTGGCAGACTCCACATAAATAGCATACTCAACATTAAAGCTTTTCTTTATGTTTGGCAATATCAACTTTGCAATGGCCTACATTCTTTTTCATGCTGGGATCTAACTCTGCTCATTCAAATGAACTCTGCAAATGTTCTTTGATGATCCAATCTCTCACATAAATATGAGGATTGTTTATTTAAAATGTGGTCCCTCCCCCCAGTTCCTGGTCACCTTGTATATTAAACATTCACAGAGCCTCACACATATATTTCTAATAATAAATTAATAATAATTACATACTTATGCATTCCGTTACAGTACTACATCCTTAAATACATATTAGAAGATGGTATGCTAATTCATTTATCAACCATGTGTTATCCTACCTGTGTGTAGGAATGTGCCCGCGCATGATGTATGGCTAATATAAATATATTATAATAAAATTATAAATCTCATTATGTATGATTGCTCCATTATATATAGTGTATTAAAATGTGCCTACTGTGCCATTAAAGTTCGTATCTGAATCATTACAACACACACACACAATACACGCTCTATTTTCAGAACAGACTTTTTATGTATAGTTTTTTTTTTTGTCAATGGCATTTCATATGCAAAGCATGCATCAGCCACAACGAGGCTATCTCTGAGCCTAGTCATTCCGAAACCTGATCTGGGAGAAAGTGCAGACTAAATACAATTTCATTTTGACTTGGCCTCCCGCTGAGAATGGGACTGCTTTGTTTCAGCCAACAGAAGCAGCAAGCCAGAAAGGTATGTCCTGTTTTGCATGGCCGATGTGTGACTTAAGGATCACAATCTTGCTGTTCATGCTTCCAGGACTCGATACCAAGTCCATATCCTGTGCTTTCATTCCTATACCCTTTGCATTCGCTTTCCTTCTGTGCTGACTGCTGACTGCTGACTGCTGTCTACCTGCAGGGCAGAGCAATGGCAGACTCTGGGACAATTGTTTGCTTTGGCGTATGTCTAATAACTGCATAATTGCTTGGGATGTTGTTTTTCTACTGTTTCTCCTATTTATTCTGCCCCTTCCTTTCGGATCTTATTTTTAGATGCTTATGCCAACTGAAAATTTCAATGAACACAGAGCAATCTCTAAACTGAATATATATATATATGGTTTAGTATAATATCTGATTGTAGATCATTTTAGAGAATTGTAACATACAAATTTTATTTTTTTATAAAATTATATTATTTTATATAATTCATGTTAATGATTAGTAATTAAAATTATTTTGACATTCAAGAGGAAAACATTGAACACAATGTTAAAATATTTAAAATCTGTTCTATATTAATGATTAAATAAAAAAAAATTGATTACTGCAGAACCAATTGCATTTTATTCATTTAATTATTTTTTATTCCCCCCCCCCCCCAGAAATAGACCATTTGAATCTTATAACAATAATAAAAAAATAAAAAAAATTATTAATGTAGTGCAAACTAGGATTTATACAGTTAAATGCTGTCTGCAGATGGGATGTAAATAATTCAGTGTCATGATTCTTATTGGAAAAAATCCCATAACGGAAATAGTGTTTTGTAATCTTTGGAAGACTGGTAGAAAAGAAAACCAGACAATTTAAATGTGCTACTCTGTTATTGTTTGCTTGTTTTTTTTTTTTTCCTCTACACATTGCATTTTCTCAATACAATGTTCCTTTAAACCCTTACTCTTCCAACTTGATGAAAGACCATAAGTATTTAGTAACATGGTTGTGGACATGGGTGGAAAGTTTGATTCACACGTGTGGTTTTCATTTCACTTTAAAACATTGCAATATGATTTACCTTGCGTTAAATATATATCAAAGAAATGTGTGTGAGTTTATCCTTGTGAGAGAATGTGTGTGCATAAAAAACACTCATTTGTGTATGCGTAATATTAACATAAATAAACATGTATGTGTGCATATAGACCTAGATAGATGACAGAAATGTGCATTTAATTTTATTTAATCTAAAATATCGTAATACATTAGACAGATAGATAGATAGACAGATAGATAGATAGATAGATAGATAGATTGATAGATTCTAATAAACAAAGTGTATTTTCTTCATTAAGTAACATTCTTGAGTGGAGATTCAGCTTGCAACATTTTATCTAAAATAACTGAGCTTTATTTAATTTTTTCCATCACAGCCAGTTCAAAGATTTTTTCCTGCCTGGCTGTTTTGTTATATCTTTTGTCACTTATGATGTCACAAAATAAAATATTTAGTTAACAGAGCACATGCATGATATATAATAACATATTGCTATGTTATTGGCTAGTAATATTTGATTACAATTATAAATATGATTGTAACACATTTTTTTTTTATTGAAATTTTATACAAGTATTTTAATTTTGTGGTTACTTTCTAAATAGTAAACAGATGCACATAGATAAATTGTATACTGATGTTAGTGAAAGCAACAAGAAAGTGAAAATAGCCAGTAAATTATACATTGTTTGTAGTATTACATTGTCACATATTTAAAAAAAAATAATTATACATATAATACACCAACTTTTACATAGTAAACAAAACATAACTAATATAGAAGAAAATGATCATATACAGCTGAACACATTATATTGATTTGTAAATGATAATGTTCCTAAATGATGCTTACTGTATTTTAACCTTTTGACTGCCAGATTGTGAGAAAGTACATTGAGTGCAGTAATAGACCATTGAAAACAAAACAAATTCCATTAAAATTGTTGATAGCACCATGAATTTAATTTACTTGTATGCAAAAAATAGATTGTTAAAATAGTACACCTGTTGAAAAATGAATACCACTTGCCATTCTAAAAATACTTAACGTTCTGCATTTAACATCAACAAAAATTTTGGCACTTGAGTTTATTTAAAAATCTTAGTTCACTCATTATTAATTGTAATGCTAACAACAAATAAAATAGAATAGGGAGACAGACATATGTACACTGATAACAAAACAAGATGAAGGTATTGCATCTTGTGACATTTGATTTCAAATGACACACTGGGCACCATAACAACGTTATTGTTATGAAGTTGTTATGGTGCCCAGTATGGTCCTTTAGGTTTTCAAGTGGGTGGTGGTAATTCAATACTTCCTGAATGTACACAAAGCGTTAATCCTGCCCCACATTACAGGCATTTGATATATATATATGATGATATAGAACGATAGTTAGATCACTATGTATGATGTATTCATTCCATCTAAGAAGTAAACATTCAAATCTCTCTGATGCCAGCTGAGCCTGGAACACCATCTGCTATTAAAGAGTTAATACACCGATGAAGAGCTGAGCTCCGCAGTACACACTGTTAAGTTCTTTGCTTTTCAGTCAACAGTGCGAATCTGTTCCTGAACACTAAGTAAATGGAAGTCACTAAGAGGAGCTGAAGGCCAGAAGTTAACTAGCATTTTGTATCGAATGATACTTATGTGATGAAAAGTTCATATAGAGGAAATTATTACAATGAGAGATATTGCCTGTTACGTTTCTTAACCTTCTCTTACTTTTTAAATGGGCACTTATTTATGCACTAGGAAAAATCTATAATTAGAATAAAATTACTATATTCTTATACATGTATGGTTTTTTTCCAGAGCACTTAAATACTGTATATAAAGTTGTCATCACATTTTAGAATAGTTCCTTAACTTTCTCCTGAGTGTACATCTAGTCCTAGACATGCTCTGATCACACTCACTGACCATTTAGCAGAACTAAGTTTACAGATTTTCAGTATATTTTTTGGCTGTTTTGTACGTTGTTTTTTTTTATATATATATATATATATATATATATATATATATATATATATATATATATATATATATTTTGCAACGGTTATTTATTTTTCACTTACCTGAAAATTTTTATATATATACAAAGGGGTGAAGACTAAGAAATACATCATTATACTTGTGATTTCACCTTATATATTATATATTTTAGATATAATTATTAAATATGACATGGAGACATGGAATAAAACCTTTCAATGAAGGTCTCTGAGATGAAATTAAAGGCTAGTTTATATATGCTACGGACTGTATATTTAGTACTTTACATCTACATTGTGACAAATATGTGTTGTCACGTGTCATCATATCTCACCTGTCATCATATCTCCATTAAATAACTAACGAGTGACAGCAGGAAGGTGCACTTGAAACCGGGATCCACATCTTAGAAGGCCCAAAAACTCTGAGACCCCCTGCAATCTAGCTTTTGAATGTCTATTAGGGACATTCAGGAAATCTGTGCATTTGTTGATATTTCAAACTACTACTACCAACTGATTGTAACTAAATGCGGTGTCATATGTGTATATATATTAAATTTTTGCCATATTGGGCCCATGAATAGCTTACACCAAATAAGATAATAAAACCTATTAATTACATAGACCTCATGCTTCATTACTTAAACTACTTGGGACTGGATAATCCCAAACCGTAACTTTGGCTAAATAAATATTAATGGGCAGATATATTTTGTGTGCACCATATTCTGTTATTGTTTAACATATTATCACTAACTGCAGAAAATGTCTTATAACACCAGCTAGGATTATACAGTCAAACATGAGTAAGGCAATTCTGATTGTATCTGCTGTATAGTCAAAAGTCACTCACCCTGCTTCTCGTACCTATCGGGTCATACATGCAGGAGACAATTTTTTTTTTTTTTACTTTATCACTTTGTTGCTTATTCCTGAAACAATGATGAAAAACACATTTATTGAAAACCCCATAGGTTTTATTTACGACTCAGCAAATTGTAGTGAATTGAAGATTGAATTCCAAAATTGAGGCCAAAATATTTGCTCAAGTTCTTTACAACTTTGGCCTCTATGTAATTAGAGTAAATAAAAACTTTCCAAATTATCAAATTATTTATCTACAAAGCTTGCCATATGCTTTAATTGTAACTTTATTTGAAAAATCGTTTTAACTGTACTGAAACATTTGGAAAGCTTATTAAATTGAGGCCTTTGTTATTTTGGCCTAAATTTTACAATATGATATTTAATTAAGAATAATGCACTGCTTAGTAAATAAACCCCACAGAGTTATTTAGTAAGCTGTTAAATGTTGGACACTGACTACCATTGTCAATAAATGTGTAATGAAAAAAAATCTTTTTTTTTTTTTTTTTTACTCCAGTTAAGTGATTTGGCCTTTAAATTAAAATTCAATCATCAGTTCCAAAATGTTCTTGGTTTGGAGAATAGCTCTGCTAATACATAAATCGTAAAAAGGAAATGTGAACATACATGCTCAAGAATCTTAAAGGAAATATGTTTAACAGCGTAAATCTACAATCTGTGTTAAATCGTTCAGCATAGTGTAGTAGATATTTATTCATTTCCTGCAGTTGAACATATTTTTTTAATGATGTAGATTAAACATATTAAACATGGATCTGTCATGTTCCCAAATCTTACTTTTTTATGTCATAATACTTAAAAGTGTAATAGTGTAAATATACACATATACACATCAACTGTACTCTGGAAGTAGTTTAGGCCACCCAAGAAAATTGCATTTTAAGCTAATTATCTGGGTAATTGTTTATTTCTTCAGACAAAAAAATAACCATTTGAATATGTAAAAATGAGCTTTATGACTATAAAAAGTTACTAATAACATATTATGTTTCAGACCAGCAATTTGTTAAATTCCACGCACACACCTGATTTTACTCAATGTGGTATTGATTAGACGAAATAGGTGAGCGTTTGGTGGAATTTAACTAACACGATCCATGGAATGAATGTGTGCCTTGAGGAGATGTTTGTAAATGGCTAAGCTAACATAGTTTGACAGACAGAAAATCATAGTTTGGCATCAACAAGGCAATCTCAGTGAGCAAAAGCCTGCCTAACCGGATTTTCAAGATGTTACGATCAAGCTGTCAAAAGGAAATTTAAAAAAAAAAACTTTGCAAGTTAACAAAAATGCAGTGGAAGACTAAAAAGCCGCTTGAATCTGATGAACATTACTTGAAAGTCAATACAATGCGAGACAAAACGAAAGCCAGTGAAGTGTTTGCTCAGTATATGGCAGGTAGTGTGGTACCAAGGCATATTCTTTCATCATAAGACAGATGATGGTGGAAATTTGTATTGAATAGTATATTCAAATTTAACATTGTTGGATAAAAAAATGAATAAAAAAGCTAAATATTCCAAAAAAATATTTGCTGTTTGCACATTTTTAATGGTAATTTTCACCATGTGATTTACAACAGTCAAGCATATTGTATTATTTTTAGACCACCTCGGATTTGAAACTTATATATCTGTCCGTCCGTCTATTCACCCATTCATCTAGTCATCCATCCATCTATCCATCCATTTCTCTCCCAGGCTTTTTATGTCTCTTTGATTAGCAAGATAATTTTTTAGATGATTTATGTGGGTAATAATTAGGAGCACTAGGTAATGAGACTGTACTACACATACATCAAAGACAAGTTCACATTCACAAAGTCAGTGAGATTGTTAGTTTTAGTTACTAGTTAGTTACTTTGTCACTGCATAATTCAATGACTTGTAGGTTAAATATTGTTTTAATCTTAATTACACTGGTTATAATAGAAGTGTGGTTTGCCATGGCCTTCAGGGTCCTCCCTCACATGATCACCTATAGCAAAAATGAGGTCTTGAATGCAGATACATACTGCCTCTGTTGAATGTTTCCACAAGTCATTCTCTCATGTGATAGATTTTTATGATGGTCTTTGGGTACTATTTACCTTGGGTAACGAATTCATCCTTACATAGAAATGTTTATGATGTTATTTACCGTCCTGACAGAAATAGTTGTGCCCATCTGCAACCATACACCCAGATACCTGATAAACCCAGCATTTCTAGGGATGCCGGCCTCTACGGATCTTTGTCACTTTATAGCCCTACGGCCACCCACGTTGATGACAACATTTTGGGGTCAAAGGTCTATTACAACCAATCGGATAAACAGTAGGGTTATTTAAACTCATTTTTACATTCTCTCATTGCCCTGTTGTGGTTTCTGCCTGATGGTAATCCGAGAGTGCATTCCTGATCTTGATATTTTGGTATTTGACTTTGCCTTCGTTCTGACGTTCTGACCCTGATTTCTGGTATCCTTGACTTTTGGCTTTCCCTCATTGTTGTGTCTGATTCTGTATCTCTGACCTTGGCAAAGTATTCTGACTATTCTTGGATATGTTAAGTCCGGCCACCCTAAGGTCCGGTTAGACGTTATCCTTAGTCCTAGGTGTGATACAATTCTGCGTGCTGGATCAATTAGTAATCCTAACACCGTGATGGGGTTTAGACCTACTTAGAGTCAGTCTTCGGACCGTGATTGATTATATCATAGCTCTAAGGTATTTCACAACAAGAAAAAAAGAACAAAATGCATCCAGAGATGTGGCAAATTCTGCAGGACAGATAGAAGATTTTCTACAGGGCAATTTATAAAAAGACCCAACACTGCTACTGAACCAAAATAAATTTCTAAAACAGTGTCACTGAACAGTGCTACTTTTCCATTTATAAAAAAAAAATCATACAATGCTGACTTATTCTAAAACAAAAAGTATTACTTTTCATGATTCTAATGTTACTTGCAGATATTTATTATAATATAGTTTAAAAGATTTTGGAATGTTTTGTGCTGTGTAATATTTTTGTTCAGCAATAATTATAGAACTAAAATATATCAACATAATGTCACTTTAACCATATTATTATTATTATTTGTATAATTTGATCATGTCACTTTAAAAACACTTTTTTTTTTTCCAAGTGTAAATTAAAACCTTAATTTCCATTAATTAATGTTGTAGCCCATGTTTTTTTCTGGCACCATTGTGTTTTTTTTTAGAACTGGTGGCTGAAATTGCCCTACATCTTCAAGGTGGGGTAGTATCATTGATAATCCTGCCCTAATGTGTTTTATTACCCACCTCATATAGACTGTAAGCTTGTTTAAGAAGGAACTTCTTCAACCTATCATTCCTGTAAGTTTTCTTGTAATTGTCCTATTTATAGCTAAATCACCCCCTCTCATAATATTGTAAAGCGCTACGGAATCTGTTGGCGCTATATAAATGGCGAGAATAATAATAATAATAATAATAATAAATATCATCTTAATTTAAAAAAGCTAAAAAAAATATTATTTTCTCAAAAGGTCTCCATGTGCATCCCAAGTGTGTACAGGTGCTTGTTAATCAATATTTACAGTAATATTTACTCAAGTGAAATATCAAAGTGAATTCATTTTGAATTTCAAATTTAAGACCAAAATAGCTGAAGTGACACCACAGTTGTCATCAGATTCAAGTAAGTTTTCCAGTTTGGGTGTTTTTTATTTAAATTTGAAATTCACTTTGAATTCTCACTTTAGTGAATAACTCTGATAATGTAAGATGTACTAAAAGTACTACTTAATCTAGAGTATACCCAAAAACAAAAAAATGGAATGCACGCAATAGATTAATTCTCAATGTAATAAAGTTACAAAGTCACTTTATTTTATCTGTTTCTGTGACATGGCAATGCCTCAGTGTTTGGATGAGAACACACTGCTAGCCACTTTGTCTTACAGCCACTAGAGGTGCTTTTTACTTTAAGACCTTCAAATTATGAAGGTCTTCACATTCAGCAAGTGCAATCATTCACAGCATGATGATACTGAATGATATTAATGCTTTATCAGGGGGCATAATCTAAATAAAAAGGGAACACATCTAATGTAGAAATAAATATATGTATTTTTAACATTAAAGTGTTACTTTAAAAACAGGTGTCCATGAATGTTACCTGACAAGAAATGGAAATTTCATTAAAAAAAAGATATGTGTGAGTTGTGCTTGTCTTTGAATAGAAACATGTTTGAATATATTGCTTTTCTGGCTTATACTGACAAATGATGAACTAAATTGTCTTCTGAATTCCATTTTCTGCAAAAATAATTCCTGAATTTAATGAAAGCAGATAATGTATTATACAAAAATGCATAAGCTATTGATTTTACAGTTGTATTCCTTTTGATATTCTATTCAGAAGAGCTCATATCTCTATTATGATTTCAAATTGTGATTGATATTTTTTTGCTAATATGCAAAATTTGTGGTATTTCGTTTTTTGTTTTTTTTTGCTTTGCTTGCTTTTCTAATCTTAAACTCCATCATTACCAATGAAAAATTTCACTCACTGTTCTTTTCTTTAGTTGTTTATTACCTAAGCAGTAAATTGAGTTAAATTGATTTGGATATATTCAGTCCACAAAAATAGGAATGTAACTGTATTGGGGAACGAGTGTCAGTTCAGCAATTTTGTTCTAAATGTATCAAATTTAGTTTTGATTTCAAGATCATTCACTGTTTATTTAATACATTCTTTAGTTTCATCCAGTTAACAGCCATTTCTAAAGCTTAAAAATGGTAACCATTGAATGGAGTTTGCAAAAAAACAAGTGTAAAATGAACACACTAAGAAAGGGGGGATACTTCCTGCAGGGTGCTCTAGAAATGGAGGGCCAATCCCTGAAGACATCAAATGGGAAAAAAATATCCAGGCCCACCTGAGGTTTCTTCTAAAAGGCAGTCTTTATTTGAAAAAAGGAAGTGGAGACAAAGTTTCTGCTCCTCTCCGAGTCTTTATCAAGTCTACTTGATAAAGGCTCAGAGAGGAGACTAAACGTTGTCTCCACTTCCTTGTTTCAAATAAAGACTGCCTTTTAGAAGAAAACTCAGGTAGGCCTGGATATTTCTTTTTTTTAACATTGAATAAAGTGACAGTTGCAGACAACTCTATACTCTATAACCAATGCAATGAAATCAAATTGTTATATTGCCTATGGTGTCCCTTAAACCCCTTAAGGACACATGACATGTGTGACATGTCATGATTACCTTTTATTCCAGAAGTTTGGTCCTTAAGGGGTTAAATAATTATGATTAAAACTGCATTTCACAAAATATGACCTTCAGGTGAATACACATTTAATCTATGTATAGTGCTGGATAAATTCCTAGGAAATGTATACTAAAAATGGTATCTGATAGTGGCTGAGTGCATATGGTGTTCCGTATAAAGTGATCGCAAGTTGCTGGGTTTTGGGTTTTTTGAGAATTTAGCACTGAAATTAATCCTTCCTGTTTGGCCTCTTCTTTAAAAGGGCTTGGTATATAACTTTCAATAATGGTAGTTCTAACATGTTATCTGCCTTGAATGACTTGCTAATAACCTAAAACCTTTAAAATTCATCTATCATGACTAAGATAGCTTGGTGTCCTAAAATATATCTCTGTATATATCAGACTATATATAGGCTACTTTTTATCAGTGGGGGTCTAAATATGGTAACACAGTTTAGAAACACGTGGGCAACCTTCAACTCCTAGCATGTGCCTACATACTCAATCTAGACAATGCAGGATGGCTCCATACAATTAGGAATCTTTAAATCCAGGCACTAATTTATTCCTAGCAGGATACTTTGATAGGTGAGAAGGAAGTGAGAAGGAAGTGATTCTCAGATAAGTATATCTATTAATCTGTATATATATATATATATATATATATATATATATATATATATATATATCCTGATAACTTTATGCTAGTGGTTTACCAATTTTAATCGATGAAAATTCTAATCATATTTAAAAGCAAAATGCTAAATAGTCAATAAGATTAACCCCTTAAGGACACATGACATGTGTGACATGTCATGATTCCCTTTTATTTCAGAAGTTTGGTCCTTAAGGGGTTAAATGCAAATGCCAGCTAGTACCAAATGCCACCAAGTATGTTTGTTTTCTCAGATGTTTCATAGCAAAGACATTTCACACCTCACTTTACATGCTTTAAGAACTGTGCTGCTTTTTTACATTTTCAAGGACATTAATTTTGACCTTTGGGTAGCATTTGCAGGACTTATTATAGTTGATGTTTATTTCACTATTGAACAATTCAATGTCTTCTTTAACTCAGATGTAATAGTCAGATGTACTGTCTCAGTCTGTCTGTCTATCTATCTATCTATCTATCTACACTGAACAAAATTATAAACGCAGCACTTTTGTTTTTGCCAGATTTATCATGAGCTGAACTCAAATATCTAAGACTTTTTCTATGTACACAAAAAGCCTATTTCTCTCAAATATTGTTCACAAATCTGTCAAAATCTGTGTTAGTGAGCACTTCTCCTTTGCCAAGATAATTCAACCTCCTCACAGGTGTGGCATATCAAGATGCTGATTAGACAGCATGATTATTGCACAGGTGTGCCTTAGGCTGGCCACAATAAAGGCCATTCTAAAATGTGTAGTTTTATCGCACAGCACAATGTCGCAAGTTTTGAGGGAGAATGCAACTGGCATGCTGCAGGAATGTCCACCACAGCTGTTGCCTGTGAACTGAATGTTCATTTCTCTACCATAAGCCGCTTCAGAGAATTTGACAGTACATCCAACTGGCCTCACAACTGCAAACCACATGTAGCCACACCAGCCCAGGACCTCCACACCCAGCATCTTCACCTCCAAGATCGTCTGAGACCAGCCACCTGAACATCTGCTGCAACAATCAGTTTGCATAACCAACAGATTTCTGCATAAACTGTCAGAAACCATCCCAGGGAAGCTCATCTGCATGCTCGTCGTCCTCATTGGGCTCTCGACCTGACTGTACTTCGTCATCATAACCGACTTGAGTGGGCAAATGCTCACATTCGATGACACTTTGGAGAGGAGTTCTCTTCACGGATGAATCCCGGTTTTCACTGTACAGGGCAGATGGCAGACAGCGTGTATTTCATTGTGTGGGTTGTATGTGTGAGCGGTTTGCTGATGTCAACATTGTGGATCGAGTGGCCCATGGTATGGGCAGGCGTATGTTATGGACAACGAACACAGGTGCATTTTATTGATGGCATTTTGAATGCATAGATAGAGATCCTGAGGCCCATTGTTGTGCCATTCATCCAAGACCATCACCTCATGTTGCAGCATGATAATGCAGGTCCCCATGTTGCAAGGATCTGTACAAAATTCCTGGAAGCTAAAAACATCTCAGTTCTTGCATGACCAGCATACTCACCAGACATATCACCCATTGAGCATCTGGATCAGCATATAGGACAGTGGGTACCAGATCCTGCCAATATCCAGCAAGTTTGCAAAGCCATTGAAGAGGAGTGGACCAACATTCCACAGGCCATAATCAACAACCTGATCAACACTATGCAAGGGGAAAAGGTGAGGCAAATGGTTGTCACACCAGATACTGACTGGTTTTCGGACACCCCTGGAATCCCCGTAATACAGTAAAACTGCACATTTTAAAGTGGCCTTTTATTGTGGCCAGCCAAAGGCACACCTGTGCAATAATCATGCTGTCTATTCAGTATCTTGATATGCCACACCTGTGAGGTGGGTGGATTATCTCGGCAAAGGAGAAGTGCTCACTAACACAGATTTAAACGGATTTGTGAACAATATTTGAGAGAATTAGGCCTTTTGTGTAAATAGAAAAAGTCTTAAATCTTTGAGTTCAGCTCATGAAAAATGGGGGCAAAAACAAAAGTGCTGAGTTTATAATTTTGTTCAGTGTATATATATATTTATATATTGTGGTTCACTAAAGTTGAATTGGCAGGAATTGACTAGGGAATATTTGAGTCCAAAATAGCCAGAGTAACGAAAAAAGTAGATGGGTTGAAGATTATATTTCTTTTGAGACCAAAAAAATGTAAATTCCTTTAACCCCTTAAGGCCCAAGTGTAACAAATGGAGGAGCCTAACCTGTTTTATGGGGACTTTGATATGCATCAGTTCTGGACATTTGAAGCATTCATCATACGAATGCAAACTACCGAACACCGTACCACCCTGCTCCCTAATTATAGGTAATTTACCTCCCTGATCCACAAGTGCCTTCGCATAGAAAACCCACGAATGCTTTGTGAAGTGCCTGGGTGGCCGCCATTTCGGGACTTACACGTGTTCGCGGCCATTTTAACTCCCGAACAGCGGTGTTTTGCCGTTGAGTGTCTGGAACTAACATCGGACTCTCGAGGAGGCGAACACCGCTGAGACCTCCATAGCACCGGGAAATCGTGCTACAACTACCGAACAACAGGGCATTTGGTAGAAAGACTTAATAGCCTATGGGGATTCTGGCGAACGTCAGGTTACGCACGGATGGTGTATTGGTTATGGGCAATGATAAATGTTCTATTATTGTGTTCCCATTCATGTGCAATAACTTATGACACCTATAGGGGGTGTAGTGAGCTATGTGACATTAAGAGCAAGAAGATGGCTGCTGCATATTTAATGAGACGTGCTTTAGGGAGGAAGTGACCTATAGGTGGCCTAGTGAGCACTGTGACGTCGAGTGAATAAAGATGGCTGCCGCATAGTCAATGAGACATGTGCTTTAGGAAGGTATTGAAAATTCTTAAGTCACTTCCTTTCACAAAGGACCACATGTAGTATCCGCCTCCTAGAGATGACCATTAGGTATTGGTTATGTTACCTCTGTGGGTGGATACCAGATGGGAGGTTATTCAAGGGGTTTCCAGAAACTAGAGTTTCAGTTTCATGACTGGGTCGGAAGAAGCCAGGTGTCTTTAGAGGTGCCCATGTAAATCCATTTAACATGTGGCAAGGAACTCACCTCATTGTTCTGTGTGTTATGCTGATTCAATTATCCTGTGTAAGCTGCTGAATCTCCATGAATAGAGCTAAGTAGATTTCTTACCTGAATGTATTGTTTATAGCAGTGTGTGTTTTTAAAGTATTTGTTTCTTTTTTGTGTGCTTGATAATTGTATTCCCAGTAAAGTTTTGTTTATACTTTCATCAAAACTTTGCCTCTTGTCTGTTCATTCAAGATATTCACTAATATTTATGTGATTGACCAGTATACCTTTTATTATTTTATTTGTGGTATTATTTTATATTTATGCAATTCAGAACTTCATAAATATAAAGAAATTACTTAATTTACCATTACAGATGGCAAGCTGTTTGGGACTTTTTACGCATGAACAAAGACTTTTACTACGGTGTTCCCCCAGAATAGGGCTATCTGGGGACATCGGATTTATGCATGTACCCCAAGTATTTGGGGTACATCCAAAACTTGGGGAAAAATGTGTTCTTGCTAATTGTGTTATAAATTTATCTGAGGGTAGGTGATGTGTGGGATGTACCTTATGTTTATTGGTTGTTTTGTTAATTATGTGGGTGTCTCCCTTGCATGGGCAGAATCACATAAAAAGAGAGTGCCTGTCATTAAAAGCCAGTTCTTCTTGACCCTTCAAAACGTAGCCTTGTTTCGTTCTTGAAATGGAATATGCAGCATAATCACTTAGCTCTTTTTAGAGCTCTACCTGACTCCTGCCTTGGATCCAGTGGATGGGAATAAGTGACTCCATTACTATACAGCGACTTGCCGGGAAGAAAAGGACTTCTCCAATGGCTGATACCCTCTTACTACCTGGGTAGCTGTTACACCAAGCTTCTGGAATAAAATGTAATCATGACATGTCAGACATGTCATGTATCCTTAAGGGGTTAACATTGCCATTTTCCAGTTTATTATAAAATACCTCTAGATAATGATCTAGGTATGGACAGAATTCAAAAGATAAATGGGATTTATGTATGTATTTATTTTGTACCACATTAAGTGCAAAATAAATTACAGATCTAATCAATGTTTTGCTTTTCAGATCCAGTATATCAGCTGTTTTTGTTCTAAAGCCAAACATTATATGGACTAACATAAAGATTTAAAAGAGGAGTCACGGCAGAAATGGGACATGACCAATAAAACTGGCACATTTCAGTTTAAAGTGATGTATGTATGATTCAAAACATGATAAAATCTTTCTATTGGAATGGAACGGTCATCAATAGCAGCTCCTTACATATAAGTCTGATGAGCACTGGTTGACAACTTTTTCTTCCTTGCACCTTCGGAAGAATTTGTTACCTTTTTACACAATAGATATTAACTGGTGTGAAGGTAAGAAAATAAATCCAAAGCTCTGGCATCAAAAAGCTAAGGCCCATCCTTCTGTCTCTGTATTTTACACTTATGGTTGTTTTAATATGTTACATCTTCATTGTCAACTGGCTAATCTTATTGCATTATAACTGTTGAATAAAAAATAAATAAAAAAATATTATTTTAAATTATTCTCTCAACATAAAGAATACCTCGTAATGTAGATATGCCAACACATTTCTAATTTGCCAAATAGATTTCTCACAAGGAAGGAGCATACCACATGGTGAGCAGACTTTGCAGGAGATAGCTGCATTCTTAAAACTGCTTATGTCACTATTGCTATTATCAAGTGGTATGTAGGGTAATTTCAACTTATCTATTTAACCCAATACAGAAACATGCTCCTTTAACCATCAGATGATACAATGCTAATTATGCTAAAGTAAGGCCTTTCATATTATCTGAAATTAGAGCCTAACATTAAGCTGAATAGCTCGAAAGGTTTGAATTCCCAAAATGTGTATTCCATATGACAATAAATATTTTTTTTATTTACTGTAAGGACTCATTGTAATATCAGTATTGCATGTGAATAGTCAAACGAGTTCTCCTTTCTATTCCATGAAAAGCTAGGCAGAGGATTTTGTAAATAGGTTAAATTATATTTAAATACATTTTTGCAAGTCAGTACAACCACGTCATGAAATACCTGAACGAGGCTAGTCACCCCTTTTGTTAGGTGTCTATACTGAAATCACAAGGAACCATAAATTGTAGAAATATTGCATGTGAGGCAAGAAACAGACTGGATTTTTGTAAAAGCTTTGTTCCATGCTGCCAAAAATCATTTAACCTCCTACATTTCTCGTACTGTAAGTATTCAGTCATCCATGTGTTAGAAATGGGAGAAGTCCCCTGTGTACACTATGCAACAATTATTTTCTCATATCTGCATTGAGACTCATCAGAGAGATACCAGAGGGACAATATGTGGTGTTGAAATTTTAATCAGATGACATTGCAGACTCCTGCAATCAAGAGTCAAAGCAATAATCCATCTGCGTTCTTATGACATAATACTTATTGAGCCGGTCCTGCCATCAGGGATAAAGGAGTATGCTGCCATTGTAAAATCAGGTGATCCTACAATGCATATATAACTTAGCCAAGCCTATGAGTTTAACCTAGGCCATCAGGTGGCTATGACAATGATGGAACACCTCATTATAATTACCAATATGGATACCGCAACCAGGCTTGAGGTTGGCCAATCCTCACAATGAGATTTGAAAAAAGGTAAGGATGGTCCAGGCATTCAAGTTCAATCCTGTGGGCAGATTTATTTGAGCAAAATAGAGTAACAGCTTGACAAAGGCCCTGTTGTGGGCCAAAACATTGTTTTAATTCTTCTCCAATAAATCTGCCCACTGGATTGAACTTGAGTGCCTGGACAATCCTTACTTTTTTGGAAAGCCTCATTAGTCACAGTGCAGGCTGTCACGTGGTTGTGTAATAAATTGCCATGAACAGCAGAGCCTTAAAAAGAAGGTTTCTAGACCAATAAAAAGTGAGGTTAAAGTACGTTGTGAACTGAAATAGTGTACTTCTTGTTATTGGACATGGACATCATTACACTGTACTTGTCATGGTAATCTAATGCTTTTCAGTATTTAATGCAGTAGGAGGCAGCTCAGCTAAAGGGTTGTGTACAAATTCCCATACTGTTATAATGGGAACTGCTTACCTTCTTGTTTATCGTCAATTTCTGGTTGATATGTTGCAGTATTCCACTATTTTGATATCTACAGAGCTCTTCATGTCCAAAACAGCACTATGCATAGATAGCGTTGTAACCAGATCATTGAAACTAGCCTGTGATGTGTGGCCCTTGTAGGATATAGGTGTATTAAGAAAATTGGAGTTTTACGTTGATACCATAAGGCTACCAGAGCGAGAGAGAGACAGAGGTCAGTTAATCACATAACAAAGCAATGCTAGTCATTTTATGATGACAAAATAAATTTATTTTTGGACTGGGGGTCACATAATAAAAATATAACTTACCCCAAATTAACTTAAGACCCCCAAATCATTTATTCTAAAGACAGTAAACCCATCTATCAACCAAACGTATTTTAGTGTATCCCATTAGTAGATTATGATAGCATAATAATCCAAACACATAAAAAAGTGGTTTAGTGACGTGTTAAATATGTGTGCCTTGATACTATCTCCTTTAGATGAGTGATCTTTGCTCTTCCTCACACCTGAAAGCTTTGCAGTTTTAGTGTTTTAAGAACACTTGTGCGAAAGGTTTGACAGCAAAGCACTCTGCAAAGGAGAGGCAAACTTGATAGAAATTTTTTAGGAAACCCTCTATGTCAAAGGGATCAATTAACTGCACGTTGATCCCTTAATTCAGCAAAATAAAAAAAAAATGATAATTACAATATAAACAAGTTGGACAATAGCTCAGCTATTTTTAGCTTACATTTTGAGAAATTCAGTGTTCAGTTCACCAAAATTCAGTACATTTCTAGGTTTTATTTTCCACATTGTACATTGCATGTATTCTCAATTTTTAAGTTTTTCTAGCAAGTTATGAGACTTCAAACAAAGTCAATTGCAATAAAAAAACGATTTTGCAGCATGTTTACCAAGACCTTTGACTGGTAGTCTGTTGTAGCAATTTCAAGGATGATTTCTCTAACTAAATTTCCAATTTTCATTCAACATTCCATTGCTTCTCTATTTAAACATTCTTGGATGTTTTGTGTGTATTTATAGAAAACAATGCACTGCTTTTGCAGCATTATTTCATCTTCTCATTAAGTTATTTATATTGACTTTATGATGTATGCATTCCTTACAAACAAGATGAAGTCAAAATGTGCAAAACTATTTTTTTCTATCATACAAGCACTGATTGAGCTGAAAAATTAAATGTATACTCAGGAAGTATTCACAACTCTTGGTTTTTTTCACATCAGCCACCACTCAATATCTTATAATGACATATATATATAAAAAAAAAAAAAAAGATTTTTGAAAAAATAAAATATCACATTAATAGAAATATTCAGACCCTTTGCTGAGAATCTTGAAGTTTAGCTCAGATGCTTCCAATTTCTCTGGGTCGTCTTTGAGTTGTTTCTACACTTCGATTGGACATGTTACAAATTCAATTTATTGAACATGATTTGAAAAGGCACACATCTATCTATATAAGGTCTCACAGCTGTAGATGCACATCAGAGCAAAAAACAAAAAACAAACCAGGAGGTCAAAGGACACTGCCTGCAGAGCTCAGAGGCAGGACTATGTTGAGGCACAGATCTAGAGAAATGTAAGATTACCTGTATGTGGCTGCACCACACAGTGTGCATCATTCTCACACCCATACTGAAGCCATGCCTCAATCTGGTATAATTTCTATTGCTTGACACTCTGTACTCACATTTATTTATTTATAAAATATTTTACCAGGAAAGATACATTGAGATTTATCTCATTTTCAAGTATGTCCTGGGTACCACAAATCAGTTTAACCCCTTAAGGACCAAACTTCTGGAATAAAAGGGAATCATGACATATCACACATGTCATGTGTCCTTAAGGGGTTAAAGGGTTTCTACCATGCACCAAATCCTGCATAATTCCTACTACAAAGTCTTCACACATATTGGGTGCACAGGAATGACGCAGAACATCCATAGGTATAAATACTTCAGTCCATCATATGTTCTTTTCCCTGTTATGGTTACTTCCTGGTCCCAGTAGAGAGTTCCAAGTGTGAAAAAGAGGATGTCTGATGAGTGTAATTAACGCAGAGCAGGCTATGGTGTCAGGTTTTTCTCTTCTGCTGCTGCACAATAATGTCCTTTTTCTTTCATTAGTAGACTAGTCTGAAATTGAGATGGGTGGATAAGAGGGAGGAGACTGAAGAAACTCTCATAGCTGAGAGGCGTGCCCAACAATGCAATCTGACTAAGTTTATAAATGTTTATTACCTACTATTCACATTTTTCTTGTTATATTTTGGTTTGTATATTTGTGTAAACATTTTGCAGGTTTAGAAAAAAATGTCCTTTAGACACAACTATGTGATTGTCCTAAGTGGTCCAGCCAGAGTACGGACCTGAACCTAATCAAACAACTCTGCAGGGACAGAACTGAAAATGACTGTCCACTGACAGTCTCCATTCATCCTTTCAGATCTTGAGAGGATCTGCAGAAATCAATGGAAGAAGCAATTCAAAGGTGTATGCAAAATTTGTTGCATTATACCCAAAAAGGCTTGAGACTATTATCACTAGCTTAGATGCTTCAATTAACCCCTTCAGACTGGAGGGCATACAATTACGCCCTATTTTAGGCGGCTCTAAACGCCGCCGGGCGTAATTGTACGCCCTCCGTTTTTTGTTTACTTACCCGGTGCTCCCCCCCGCGGCAGATCCTCCTCCTCCGGTGACCCCCGGCCATGTGAGAGTGAGGTCCTTGCGAGGACCCCACAATCACATGGCCGGGTAGGCTGCCTCCTGCATTGCCAGCAGGGGGGCTGCCTGTAATGACAGGTGGTCTCTCTGCTGGCTGAAAATAAAATTAAAATAAAATTTATTAGTGTAAAAAAATATATATATACTTAGATCATATATATATATATACTATATATATATATGATCTAAGTATATATATACACATATACATACACACACATACACTGTCTAGGTGTATTTTACTATTAATATATATATATATATAATTATATATATATATATATATATTAATATCAAATTACACGTAGACTGATACTGATTAAATATATATATAATTATTGTTATATATATATTTATATATAATATAAAAAAATTAAATATGTAAATATGTTAAAAAATAAAATTAAAATAATAATTAAAACATTTTTTTTTAAATATATAGATGTGTGTTATTTCGTTCTAACTGTATTGTGATATTAATATATATATATTTATATCAAAATACATGTAGAACAAAATAATATATATCTACATACATAAATATATACGTATATATCACTATATATATACACCTATATATAAATAAAAATATTTTAAAAAAATTATATAGATATACACATATAGATTCACATATGTATTTATATACATATATTAATTCTACATATATATTTATGAAATATGTTTACATAATTAGGTATCTTAATTAATTACAATTAGCGGGACCTGCCTGACAACCCATGCCGAAAGTAAAGGGAATTTAATTTGCTAGCACTATATTTAACCCTATAACTTTTCAAGACAGCATAAAACCTGTACATGGGGGGTACTGTTCTACTCAGGAGACGTCGCTGAACACAAATATTAGTGTTTCAAAACAGTAAGATTTATTACAATGATGATATCGCCAGTAAAAGTGACGTTTTTTGCATTTTTCATGCACAAACAGCACTTACACGGACGATATTATTGCTGTGATACTTTTTACTGTTTTGAAACACAAATATTTGTGTTCAGCGAAGTCTCCCGAGTACAACAGTACCCCTCATGTACAGGTTTTATGGTGTTTTCAAAAGTTACAGCGTTAAATATAAGGCTTGTGTTTCATTTTTTTCACATTAAAATTCGCCAGATTGGTTACGTTGCCTTTGAGACCCTATGGTAGCCCAAGAATGAAAATTACCCCTATGATGGCATACCATTTGCAATAGTAGACAACCCAAGGTATTGCAAACGGGGTATGTCCAGTCTTTTTTAGTAGCCACTTAGTCACAAACACTGGCCAAAATTGGCGTTTTTGCATTTTTCACACAAACAAATACTAACGCTAACTTTGGCCAGTGTTTGTGACCAAATGGCTACTAAAAAAGACTAGACATACCCCATTTGCAATACCTTGGGTTGTCTACTATTGCAAATGGTATGCCATTATGGGTGTAAATTTCATTCCTGGACTACTATAAAGTCCCAAAGGCAACGTAACCAATCTGGCGAATTTCAATTTCAAATGTAACATGCTATATTTGACCCTGTAACTTCCCAAAACGCCATAAAACCTGTACATAGGGGGTACTGTTTTACACGTGAGACTTTGCTGAATACAAATATGTGTATTTTATTGCAGTAAAAGCAAACAGTATTATGACATTGACAGTTAAAATGTCATGTAGAACTAAAAAAAATTTAAAAATTCTTATTTTCTCCCATTGTTTTCATATTAAATTATGTTTCATAGCTAAATATGATATTAAATGAAAGCCCTGTTTCCCCTGAATAAAATGATATATAATAAGGGTGGGTGCATTTAATATGAAAGAGGTGAATTATGGTTGGACAGACATGTAGAGCAAATGCCAGGTTTTGTCTACATTTTGTTTCGTTCACAACGTGTACATTTGGCTCAGTCCTTAAGGGGTTAAGGGTCTGAAAACATATGTCAGTGTGATATTTTTGCTTTGTGATTCTTGGGTGTTGAGTTTAGATTGGTGCAAAAAATAATAATTTAAACAATTGTAGCATGAGCCTGCAACACTAAAAAAATTGATTAAAGAAAAAGGTAGGAATCGGAATGCTTGCTGAATGCTCTATATTATTTTTCAATATGAATAACAAAATAGGTTACTATGCATGCAAAATAGTCAAGCATTGGGAGTCTTGCACCTGATAACTCATCCGTTACAATATTTAACTTTGACAAATATTAGACAGCTTTGATAAAACATGATGGCTTGTGATAATGGTGGAAAACAACAGTCTAGATTTCCAGAGCCTGGGTTGCATTTTATTTTTTAGAGGAATTATGTAAAACATTAAACAGACTTGGTTCCAAACACATTTATTTAGCAAATAGTCTACCTTCTTCTCTAGAATAGATGCCAATGCATTTTCCTGCTTTTAGGCACAGCACTATTGCCTTCCAGGAGTCAGTCCAGAACATACATGACTTTCTAATAGCTACTGAGCTATCACTGTCCCTATTTTATGGAACTCAGTAACATATTCCTGAATTACATCTGCTCCCATTATCACTACCCTACTGATCATTAGCCCTCAGCCTGCTCAATATATGCTTTAGTGGTTTTACTTCCTATCTTGACTATCCGACCCTCACATGATAAATGGAAATCACATGAATTACATAGAAATCAATTCACTGAGCAAAAGGCATACATAGTTTGAACCATATAATTATTATTACACATTTCAATAATAATAAAAAATATTCTTTCATTTATAAATTGTTACATTTTGAAAATGGGTTCTATTTGTAAGACAGAAAAAGACTCATAAAGAATAGTGTTAAACATTCTTCTGACAAATTGCTGCTCGCGCTAATCCTTTTTATATCCTTAGTATCTAAACATTATTTTAGCACACACTCTAAACTATAACTATTTACTCTTTTAATTTTCTAAACTTCTTACATGATACATTTCCTTCTGTCTATTCCAAGGGTAGGCAAATTTTGGAACTCCAGATGTTGTGGACTACATCTCCCCTGATGTTTGTCAGTATAATGGCTGTAAGAGCATTATGGTAGTAGCAGACTTGTGCACATCATAAAAATTAAATTTCTAACAAAGCATTTTGTACAAAAAAATTTTTGTTTGGGTGACCAAAATCCGTCTTTCAGCTTGGACAACTTTCATCCATGCAATTGTTTTAGGAAAAACAGTTCTGACAAACCAGAAGGAGCAAGAATTGGTAACCAGCGCAAAATGTTTTACTGCTCCTGCTTTTTCACCTCTATTGGTTACTTCTCCCTTCATCTGTGAATAAATTCAATATTTACTGACTGTCCACCAAATATCTTTTTTGCTATTAATCAGTTTTTGGTGCCACGGTTGTTCCAGAACAACAAATCATAATAAACTGTTTGTCTGTTGTCCATTTTGGTAGTTTCATCATAAGTCCATACAATTAGTGTAAAACTGAATGCACAACTCTATTCTAAAGTTCTAGAGACAGGTTCTGGGATTTCTTGCATTACATCATGACTGTAGTGCTGAAAGGAAGCTATTGCATCATAATGAGTCACTGTGAATCTGGATTATATGGGGAAGAGCAAGGGGACCATTTCAGGTATCAGGGAATGCAAAGACAACTTGCTATGCTTGCAACAGATCAATTATGTGTGATCTTTGGATATTTACAAAGGATGCACTGTGCATTTTAGTGCCCCTATAGTATTTAGGCTCCTGGGTACATCTGGTGGCTACTGCTCATAAATTGTGTAGCACTGGTCTCACTTAACATTTTTTTTCAAATGGACATTCACAATAACCCTTTTTAGGTGCAGAGATATCATGTCAAATTAAAACAAATTAGGGAATGACCAGGTGGTGACACTAAGTAAGATTTATTTTTTGAGACTTGAGCACACCCAGTTTTGAACTGAAGATGAAAACACAAAGAGTATAGTGTATATCCTTATCTCCACCTACACCCCAGTTAATTACAAAAAAACTGTGATATACAAAAAAAACAGACAGGGTTGGTGTGGTGTGCTATGCAAACATTTTGTTAGAGTCACCAACTAAGTGGTATAAATACACTGGTATTGGGTCCACCGGAATGTACTGGTATTATAATAATACCAGTTGGGAACAGAAATTCCAGCTTTAATAACTTTAAGAAACATAAAAATATAACATAGTGTAAAACCGTGCAATATAACAATATAAAATAAGATAATTATTGCACTCACAAGCACTCTGCCACTAAAAGTGGCCAGAAGATCACATAGGTAGGTCAAATGGACCTCCAAAATGGAACTCCAAAATGTTCTTGGTCAGATTAGTCTTTCCACCTCACCCCTGGGTTGCGGATCCCAAGGAGTATAGGAAAAGAAGTCACTGATGTCTAGATAAGATAGGAGGGTGTCTCGATAGAAGTAGGTGAAAATCTCAGAATGCTCCAAAATATGTCCGACTGGTTTCGTCCTCAGGACTTTCTCAAGGAAGAGCTTGGGTGTAATCCCCGCCATTGCGGTTTATAAACCCAGCGAATCAATGTTTAGTAGGTTCAACACGTGTATTATATCCTATCAGGTGAGTCTAATATATAGATTATTAATCCCACCCAAAAGATGGCCACCAAAATCAGATACGGCAACTAATATAGGAAGCCGTTTGGTAAAAACATCCGGGCTAATTTCCCAGTGTCTGTACCAATATTTTATCTCCCAAGCAGACCATCAGATAGGGAGAAAGTGATATTAAACAAACAAATCGCCAGTATCTATATCGGTGATCCTATTACATACACACAAAAAATGGACGTGGAAGTACCCAGCGATGACCCAAAAGGTTGCGCATGAGCAATAACTTAGTAAATATTCTCAACAAGTTTATGACTTTCGCATTCATCAATACAACCACATAAAATTGGTAAAACCTAGATGTGTGGATAAATCAGCTGTTAAAAGGTGTGTTAAAAATATATATATATAAAAAATATATTAAAAATATACAGTGGTAACAGCTGATTCAGCCAAACATTAGTATCATGAATGATCACAGATAAAAACATATATACAGGCATTCATAAAATACTGGATTCCTATGGTGACTATAAATTCATTTGTAATGCAGATATTTATAAAATCATACAATACAAATATTGATATAATAGTTGTTCAAATAAGCACACAGCATATTGTAACCCCAAAAAAGGGGGGAGATAAGGAAGGAATTTTTTTTTTTTATAAAATCACAGAAAAACACAAAATAATCCATAAAAAATCTTATTATAGGGTTGAAGTGATAATCCAGGGGAACTTGCATTAAGAATGCATTAAAACAAGTGAGCTCAACTTCAGCCTTAAAAGTCCCATTAAAATGTATACATATGTAAGTCAGATACGTCAGTGATATAAAACAGATATACCACAATGTTTCTATCCCACCACTGATGAATTTAGAATATATGTTTAAAATATAATATATACATTTTATGAGCCTGTTATGATTTGACAATGTTTTTCTAAGACCCAACACTCAATCAAATCTAAAAAAGTAATGAACTAACCAATTTGTTTCATAAGTCAGTATCAGTAATGTATTATAGTCCTGCTTTATATAAAAGCTCAGTACTGGAGGATGCATGTAGTGGGTTTTCCCCAGCGCTGTATGAGTAATTATATAGTTATTTCCAATACATGTCCGTTTACCACATAAAACCATATGGATGAATTCTAAAAGAATAATCCTCTAATAGTACTGCAACGCTAAATAGCAAAATAAGTTATTGACCAGTCTTAAGGTTTCCCTTCTACACCTTAAACATGTTTTACATTTTTAAAGCTAACACTTCTTAATCTGTCTAGAAGTCCCCTCGAACTTCCTACTTAGTGGTTATGCAATTAGTATTGGTTCTGGTGTCACGTATTGTGAGAAAATATTGTGATTGTCTTTACTTTACAGATATATGTGGATGTGACTGTCATGCATTTGTAAAGCACAGGGAGGTATGTGTAAAATTTGCTGATATAACAGATAAGTGCTGCATTAATGATGTATAGACGCTATCTGGTTTATGGAATTGAGTACAACATATGTCATATGTCAACATATGGATGGTAAGTGTGCTTTATGAGTGATGTATGGAATGGATAATGTGCGGTAAACCAGTTTAATTTAGTGATATACTGTGTTGTTTGGTTGATGGATAGCATCTTCATATTTTATTATAGATTGCCTGATTTCTGAAGCATGCTACAGCAGATGATCCAGTATTGTAAATGTTTAACAAACCCACCAATGTTTCCACAGTACCCACAAGATTTATTTACCCCATAACACTAATGTATAGAAATAATCATTTCTTTCCCCATACCTTGCCCAGCTCATGTCAATAGAGAAATATCCACCCTTCTTCCAGCCAAATACTGACAACTGTTGGAAAAATTGAAAAAAGTGTAAGTTTGTATGTTTTTCATCTTCTTCAGGTATACCAAGAATTCTATGGATTTTCCATTTAAATACTGGATCTTTAAGGCTGTACATGAATTTCCAGATGAGGAAGTGGTGTTTAAGTTTAACCCATACGCTGCATGGTACTGTTCCCATCTGTTATGGAGTTCTAAGCATTACAAACTGTACCTACTACTGTAGCGCAAACATTCCAATTTTTTTTTTTTTTTTTATGTGGGCCTACCTTTTTCCTACTCTCTACTACAAGGTAATATGAAAGATGTTCCAGGTTAACACTTTGTGATAGTTCATAGGTATGCCCATGTTAATTCTTAATAATATACTCATTTTTAAACTCTTTACTTTTGCTACGTTTTCTAATAATAAAGAAGAACCTATTACAGAGCCCTCCATTTTGTTGTATTCAGAATATTTTTACAAAAACATATTTTGTGAGGCGAGAATATCTTTTGTGAGGCACGTACATCTAATTAAGGAGCGGAGCACAGGTTATATTTATGAAACCCTACACCGAGCACTCAGTATATGTCACATGTAACCTGAGTGAAATAATCATGCACACTATGTACTTGACATCATGCATACCGATTACATACATTTAAATAAACACATTACTCACAGAAAATAGAGTACATTTACCAGAAGATAAAGTGTTGGCTATATGTTGCAGTTTTACCACTTTCTGAAAATATCAGTGGTATATAAAGTAAATCTTATAATCCCTTGACATGTATTGACATGGGCATCATATCTGTATTTGTCAGGAAATGTTTTTCATAAATTGCATATTGTTAGCATGAATACACTTATCTTTAGTATAAAAATATGATGATTGTAATTATAAGGTAATTTCACTAGAAATATTTTTGTAGACTAAAGAAAATTATTTTTAGCAATCTCTCTTTTTTTTAAACATAACCAACAACAACAACAACAAAAAAAACCCCACACACATCCATAATCCTTCCACATGTGTTGTTTATTGGATATTATAAACATTCTATTTTTAAAATTCCTTTCCGCAGTCTTTCACGTTACATTAATGTACTCCATAAGAAAGCCATCTCTTCTCTAGGAGTTTGCCATAGAGGTTAACTGTATAACAGCTAATTGCTAGAACTTTGGGAATAATCTTACGTGTAAGTGCTATGCCCCTATTCTGATTTGTCTCTACAATTTTAGGTTGTTTGCCAAAATACACTTTGTACACTAATAGAAAAGGAACAGGATGACCCAATTATGCTGATGTAAATTAAACCCTTTGCTCAAACTCCCATTACTCCTCGGTGTCAGCAATGACCATAGTACACGTCAACCCCAACATGTACAATTAAAACCAAAGTAAAAAGTTACTTTCACACTATCCAAATCCCTGTGCACATTTAAGAGGTTTTTTTAGTATCACTCCAATTGCCATTGAAGTGTAAGCTCACCTGGCACATCAAGGTAAAACTCTTAGGTGCGTCCTACACTAACAATTCACCTGACTGTCTTCAACTGTAAACTTAGTAGTAGTTTGGGGCTTGACAGGTGCCCTTTAAGGTTGTAAATGTGACAATTCCTAATGTTCACATGGGAGTTGTTTTAAAATTCACCCTCTAAATTTTCATTTATATATATATATATATATATATATATATACAGCCAAAAGTGCAAGATAGCACTCCAGGGACTTCCAAGTAGAATGAATAAAACTTAGCTTTTATTAGCTCAAAATAAAAATCAACGTTACAGTCTGTATCACAGACTTTCATTAGGATGAGTATGAGTAATTATAGGATGAAAGTCTGTGATACAGACTGAAACGTTGATTTTTATTTTGAGCTAATAAAAGCTAAGTTTTATTCATTCAACTTGGAAGTCCCTGGAGTGCTATCTTGTACTTTTGGCTGTATCTGTTTGCTGATAAGCACCGGGCAAGTACATCAAGGAAGGTGGAGTGCATTACTATTTTTGTTTTATATATATATATGTGTGTGTGTGTGTGTGTGTGTGTGTGTGTAATACACTACACACATTATTGTTCATTTTTCTTATTTTTTCAAATGTTCTTGTGTAATAAAAAATAACTTTGAATATCCCTAGTATAATAATGACTGTTTCAATTAATGATTATTCAAATTTGTAAAAATGAAAAGATTGAAGGATGGAATCACATTGGAATCCATTTAAATGCAACCAATAGCTTATATACTTATATAATTTAGAAGGAAAGATGCAATTACATTAATCTTTAGAACAGTGCTGCACTATGCTTCACTATGCATAACTACGTGCATAGAGTTTTTGTACCATTATTGTACAATGTATAGAGATTGTAAAAAGTGATGTGTACTTTTTACTATTGGTTAGTATACCAAACGTGTGGAAGGTAACTAATGCTGTATAACTGAAGCTAATAATGCCCCTCCTTAAGGTTTTAATAATGAAAGCGTCTGGATGTATACTAATAATACCTGGCAGAGAAATCCTACAAAGTTCAATGGTTTATCTGATGTTTTTGCAATCAGCTCCTGTAAAATCTATTGCTTTCAAGCAATTATCTTGCTATAATTTGTTAAATCTCAACAGCACACTGCTCCAGCAGTCTTGGGAACACCCCACTAATCTTTGCCTGAAAATACATGAACACAGAGCAGTTCTGACGCTCGAGCTGCCTGAGGACTGTGGAAGTAATCGAAGTGAGGGAGGCGACCAATTCCCCACTCTGCATTTGACTCCAGCGCTCATCTGGGCCCTGCTTTTCAACCTTCACAATGGTTGTGATTATCCTGGACTGCATTGAAGGGATTTTATTAGCTCTTCTGAGCATCGCTGTTACCTGGTCCTATTCTCCACACAAGGCCTCGTTATTAAGATGGCTACCACTCAGGGAGACAGAGAGGGGCATATTTCTCACCAGTCCTTGACAATGTTGAAGACCTTACGAGCTCTGTATACGATGTTAGGTTACACTACATAAACACTCTGCTAAAGCCTTATTAAGCCTCAGATTCTGAAATCCAAGCTGACAACTCTGCACTCATTATCTCAGATACCTCCGGTCCATTACCACATTTCTGGGCCGAGTACATTTAGGGCATCATCACCCCAGTGCATCTTGCACACCTGAATGGTCTCGGATCACCCTTTTGGAGACACAGATTATGGTGCAACATGTGGTCAGATCAGCAGGAAATGTACATGGGCTCTATATGTAGCCTAGGGCAGGTGGAAGGGACTTTACTTTGGGGCTGAGGCAGTTTTGGGAAGTGAATGCCCAAGCATTGGGAATTGGATGAAGATGATAAAGCCTGTAAGCTCTGCACTGTGTAGTTTGATTTTCTTTAGCACTTATTTTTAGCAATATAATTTCAGTTTCGCTTACTTTAATAACAAAGTAAAATTCCTATTCCAGAGATTCTGGGTGGAGGGACTCTGTCCCAGTGATATTTGTTCTCATTAAATATAACAATTACACACAGGTTTACAAAACTAGGGAGTTATCAGATAAACTGATGAAGGAGCAAAATTAAGAGAAGCCCCATTCTCAATTTTGCACTTTCAGTTGTTTAATTGGCACCACGTATCCTTAATTATAGCAATCTTATGTAAGGATAACAGATTAGGGAATTATCTACTAAACAGGTGGAAGATCAGCATTAAGAAAATACCTTTTCTCAGTTTCGCTCTTTCAGTTGTTTAGTAGATAACTCTTTCATTTGCAATCATTATTATATAACAAATACATTTAAAAAAAATGGTTATTACTTTGTTTTGTTTTCGGTTGATTCTGAAATTTGGATGCTTCTGAATTGTATAATTCAGCAGCATTCAAACAAAATGTAATTTACTCCAAAACAAATTGCACATATTATGTCTGCATATTATGAACACTGCAATACAGAGTGACCCTCTAAATATCATACTAATTAATGAAATGTTGATTAAACTTAACTAAAGCACAAATAATATCTATAAGCACATAGGGAACCAATGTTTTCGAATGTGCAAAAAGTCATAAATAAATTAAGGGCATTTATTTCCATGAAGGGTATATTTTCCTCTGATTTCCTAGAACAAGTCAGATGCCGAACTTACGAGTACTTTCCATTTTCATGGCATGTAAAAACCTCAACATATGCAGTTAAGCAGAAACAGGACTATGAATCTATGAATGTTCATGTGCGTATTTTTCAAGCAAACACATGGTTATGTGATAATAAAGTTTTGTAATATGAAACTGTGAATTTACCTCCACTTTAAGCTATCACTTCCATTTCATTTTGGAAAAGCAAAACAAAGATGTTTGAACTAATATTCTTGAAGGACAGGAAAAGTGCCGGATCTGTATGTGACGTGTGGAATGAGATTTATGAATAGTGTGCTAAATATATAAAGTAATGTAGAGATTGTTTTTTTCATTTGTTTTCTAAAGGGATACTAAAATGGTGTATAGATCATTGCCCTGTAGTTTCACTACTCAATTCTCTGCCATTTAGGAGTTAAATCGATTTAATGCACACCCTCCATGTATGTGACATACACAGCCATATTAAACACTTCCTGTAAAAAGAGTTCTAATGTTTAAACATCCTTTATTTCACAGTCTATTTAATTTAGAATTTTATCCCCTGCTCTGTTAGTAGCCTCCAAGAGCTTGCAGAAGCCTCCTGTGTGTGATTATCATTAATTAGTGAGTTACGAGTAAAGTAAGTGAAAATCAGATTAAAAATGAAACTATTTTTTTCATGTATGCTGTGTGTCTCACAGCCAGGTGAGGTGTAACTAGAAACACAAGTAATTTAAACTGACGCTATAGTCAACAGAACATTTACAGCTTAATGTAGTAGTTTTGATGACTATAGCATGACCCTGCAGGCTCAGCAATGTAAATGCTACCAATTCAGAGTAAAGGAAGCTTATACATTGTTTAGTAACACCTATAGATGTGGTCACTCAGATGGCTCCAAGCGTCCTATTTCAGTGCTACATTGTGTGCAGCACTTGTGTTTAGCATCTTCATGAATACTCCTCTGAATGATCCCCATAGAGATGCACTGATTCAATGCATCTCTTTAAGGAGATGCTGATTGGCGCATTGGCTGATGTGCAATATCCTCCCAATGCTTTCCTATGGGAAAATTCCTGCTATTTAAAATTCCTGCTGCTGTTGCACTCATCCAGGACAAGGGAATTGATCCACTATGAGAAAGACGGTCCATCAATAAAGTACCTCTCATTCTGTTTATTGGGGCCTGATATTTCATATTTACCCCCAAACAGCAGTTACACTTATCTGATAAGATGAATAGAATTACTGAATATGTTAATATCAGCCATACTAGACAATAAAGGTATGGGCATATATCTTCAAATATATTTTTGTTGTCAAATGAGAAAGCAAAGGTTCTTTTTTTTACAGGAACACGCACAGGGATCTCCTTGCTAATGCAATACTTCGTAATCTAGCCCTTAAGGCACAACAACAATCTAGAATTTAGGTTTTTCCCAATTATATCCCCATGGAGACCCCCCAAAAAATCTAAATGGTTAGTATGGATTGAGAACATGGTTGGCAAGCACTGCCATAAACTCTGCAATGAGCTTAGGTTGTTATGGTTCATGCAGTATCCCTTTAAATACAAGAAAGTTTAGATCAGCAAGGAATGAACATGTGTGTGCTTTTCAAGTCTGTGCCAAGTGAAGTCGGACACAGCCACTAATGTAAACCAGATGCAGTTCCAAGTTTTAACCTAAATTTGCATTAAACCAACCATGCAAATGTCAGGTTTACTCAAGTTTCTTAAGCCCAGAACAAAGAGAAAAAGAGACCTCGGTTAACATACTCATGTAATCATTCTTGTAACCATGATATTGGCTATATACTTTTCACAAACAAACAGATAAGCAAAGGCAATTGAAAAGAAAATATAGATTAGGAAGTGTGTTACAATTTAACAGCTAATTTCAGTAGTCTAGCAAAATATTTTCTTTAATTGCAGTTTGGTAATTTAAATTAATCTCTGCTATGAAACATATAATGGTTTTACTACGTATAAACTTTATTTTCCTTATTACAAATTCTAAATGTCATAGGGAAATCATAATATTTAATTTTTGCACAGATGAGTGCCATGTATATTTCTGCTAATGAAGTAGATGTTAAGTAATGAAAAAGTACAATACTAACTTTAGTGTTTCAAATTTTTTTTTTTGGCATATTTATTAATGGATAACACCACTTTTCTGTTATATTTTCCATCTGCAGAAAACCTTTGGATCGTGTTCAGAATGTAGCATAGAAGGCAATGGCCGTGTGCAGCTTATCTGATGCTGGAAGGTAAACAGAAATTGATGTTGAATACCCAGGGAATCCACTTTGAACTAGGACTACAAGGACTGCAACTACCCAGCAGGCATTTCCACCGCTCATGATTGAGGCCGGTCCAAGCAGCTTAGGCTTCCTAGCAGCTGCTTTTGAAATCTAATATTTCCGAAGCAGGAAGCAGAGAAGGAAGTAAGGAATCAGTAGAGCAAAGGTGGCAAAAAAGCAGTGACTGGTAATGTGTGGTGATTGAGAAATATGTATTTTCTAACAGTACACAACTATAAAAAAAACAAACGGATGAAAAAATAATAAATTCAAGTTGAAAAGTGACTCTGGTGTGTATTTGTATTAGAATATTTCTTGGTTAAATATTTGCACTATAGAAAGGTGTTGCTTTACTTATTCTTTGTAAATCTGGAGACTTTGTTTTTATCCTCGGCATGATCTGTTTTTCTTTCGAGCGTGTAGTACCAAAGAGACCTGTCTTGTTTCTACTGTTTACGTTACCAGTCTATGAAAAAGTGAATAACTTTGTGCATGTTTTAGCATCAATCAATGCTTTAATTGACACATCTGATCCTTTCTGAGCCAGGTGGTTAACAATCCCTCTCTTGCCACTATAATGGTTAAAACTGGGGTAGTTTTAATGAAATTTATGCATATGAAACGTTTTTTTTTTTTATGTTTGAAGTTTATTGTTTTACATTCATTAATTACATTACATTAATGTGTTTAACTCAACCACACCCCACAGCTTGTTTTATTTAACGCGTTCTGAACAATCAAACATGTTTGATTCAGCAGTCAGGTACAATTTGGTGAGTTGTGTATAATTATCGTTTTGTATATAATGTCTACTGACTTGAACAAATGGCACAATGGTGACAGTGTGAGCTGGCGGTAATATGTGTTTTTTTGCAATTTAGCTAATTTGTCAATTTGCTAATTTCTTCCCAAATCACCCATTTTGGCCAAATCTCTTTGAAACTCCAGTATTCGTAAGAAACAAAATGTATTCAGTATTTGACATAAAATATCAATAAGTAGACTAGTAATATGTTCTCGCTGCACAAGATTCCATTTCATTCAAATCGGTCTCCAGTCAGCATAAAGTTTTACGTATTCAAATAGATTTGTATTGAAATTCTAGATGACAATATGAAAAAAAAAGATAAAAAAATATAAACTACAACAAACATTGAGAATGCATAATGTACAGAGTTGGTACACATCAGAAATTATTATTTAGATTCTTACACTGCCCCCCATTTTTCAATTTTGTTCCTCAAACTTACTACAAAAAAAAACTAGCTAAACATAATTTGAATGGTAATATGGTGATTAATTAAGATCTTGTTACGAAGTATTTACTTTTTACTAAACATTTTGTGTGATGCAATGGAAACAGATTAAAACTGGGTGTGGGACAAATCATATTCACAGAATCACATAAATGGAAATTAGTAGTAAGTGTAAAGTTGGAATTTTACAAACATCCCTGATGTCTATCATTGGAGTTGCAGTAGAAATCCCGTCTTATAGCTTTTAAACATATGGATGAGAATTGTTGATTCAACCATTCACTACTGAAATCAAGTTCTATATTGAGAATTGGCAATTTGCGTTAAAATTAGCATTAACATTATAGCTAAGGGAGATTACATGTCTAAAATGGCTATACATAGGAACTACTAACCTATACAATTCATAACTCTTCTAGTGTTTTATGGACTTCTAGTATCTATCTATTGTCATGCAGAGAGCAGATAAAAATCCATAAAATGTTAGCGCAATTGATACACAATATTAGTATCTCATAATAACTAGTAAATATAAGTACACTGGAAAGAAACTTTTATTTATTTACTTATTTATTCACTTACTTGTCAATTTTATTTTACCTTAGTATGGTATATTGTTGGTTGTTGGTTGTTCCTCTAATTGCACAATACAAATATTTATTCTCAAAACAGAGATAGTTGTAAACCGAAAATTCTAATTTGAAATTCTGAATAAAATATTTGAGCTGCCACTATAGCTGAATGGAATAATTTTCACAACTTAGTTGTCTTACATTTTGCAATTCATATTTTCAATGCACTATAGTTTGGTATTTATCGCATAAACCCCATAGGATAAAATAGAGAATTACTTAATAAAGCCGGTGTAAGGAATGACAAAAGAGGCACGGTGTGAGAAGAGCCAGAGTTAAAGAGGATAATTCTTATAGCAGCTTTTATAAACTGGAAATTGGTGATATGGGCAAAAGTAAGACAAATAAAGTGTGGGTTCATGTAATCGATCAAGGAAATTATCAGACAGTGAACAAATAACATAGTTGTATTTAGTGTTAAGGGCAAACATTAACTATTTCTTAAGCTATGCAAGTTACATACTACACACTGTGCATTCACAATGCTCCTTCATTCACATTACCTTCTTCACATGCAGAGTGACATAACACAAAAATATGTTTGTTTTGTCTATGTTCTGACATAACACAAAATATGGACATCAAGCTATAAAGGGATCTTGAATACAGAAGCTTAAGTTTGACTAACAGATTTTATGTTTCATATGATAAACTCACAAACTAAGACTTGTTAAACTATGATCTAAGGGGTGCTACTGACCTATAACTCTCATAACCCTCATCTAGCTTGAGAAAATGACTATTCACTTTGGGAATTATTTAACAATGGCCATAACACAAAAAGACAGGTTGGCCACATGCTTTTTCACAAACAATGCACTTGCATTTTGCATACATTTGGTACATTTAGACAGACATAGAAATTGTGAACATTTATATGGTATACTGTATAGTGACACGCTTAGTATGTAGAAAACATAACCTTAAAGCTTTAAGTTTGCACTTTCTGTAGTCATTTTCATTTAAAAATAATAACCCTGCCAACATTTCTATTTTTAAACACGCCAATGGGTCCTTTGGCTTATGTGTCCTTAAGTTAATTAATTACTTTGCATCTCTTTAGGCTTGTATTATATCATTACACTTAATCCTTTAAGGACTTAATGCATTCTCAAGAGACCAATCACTTGATAATTACGCAAGACATCTGGTTCCGTTTACTGGATAATTTTTTTAAAGGGTCCTAAATCAACTTTGGTACTTATAGCTCATGTATGGCTTTACAAGTTTTTTTTCTGTCATATCTTAAGCATTTTAATGCATTAAAGATCAGAGTTTAAAGCATGATTCAAATAAAAAAAATTAAAAATTTTGTAACACTTAACATATTTCATTCCACAAGTAGTAACAAATGATACTCATAAATTCTATCCTGCTTCATTGGTAAAACTTACATTTAGAAATTATTTTAGAATATCAGTTTCTGATATAATGTGAATGTTTTGTGGGTTTACTATAAACTTTGCTTATGGACTGGGGAAACTAATTAAGAAGCACTTAGGCCTTGCAATATGACTTGTCACATAATAGCAATCAATTAATTATTTGGCACTTCACTTCTAGAATCAAGTTTCAACATGTTTACCTTCATGTATTTTGCAGAATGAAATGTAATCCATAAAGCCTCACTTACCATCATTCATAGTCTAGGAAGTGTGATAAAAATATCAGCTCTCCCTTTCCTTCCAAACTGTAAGGGAAGTGTCAATGGGTCATATCATTGCTAAAGTCAGGGAGGGAGAAGTGAATGGACTGTTACTGATACATTTGCATTCTAGCGTTTCACAAAGATTGCTATAGCAATTTTAATTACTTTTGTTTTAGAAATATACAATTTAACTATATTTACTATATATGGCCATTATGACAAAATGCAGACATTATTTTTACATTCTGCTGCCTTTTTCAGTAAGCTGTTCTGCTAAAAATGTTTTCAGGACCCTTACAAATACTATAAGCAAGGGATTTGACCTTTTTAACTGCTTACTGTGTGTGAGAAAAAAAATGTTTTTTATTGTATAATAACATTTCAGGCCATGTGTAAAATCTTGCAAGATAAAGGACACTGTATACTGTCTAAAGCAGCGGTTCCCAAACTGTGCGCCGTGACGGGCACACAGGGGCGCCCCAAGATATTTTCCCAGTGCTATGATCTTATGATCATAGCACCAGGACCCTTGCCTCTCCCCGGCTGGCTCTGCAGGACCAGAGGGGAGATCAGAGATCTCACTCTCCGGCCTGCTGGCAGTGTAATGCAGCAGCTGGCAGGGGAGGGAAGGAGACAGGACCTGGGGAGCTCTAACCTGCAGCTCCGCCGGGTTCTCCTCTCATGAGCTCGGATCATTGCCAAATCTCGTGAGAGTAAACTCTAGCAACTCCTGAGACTGCTAGAGTTCACTCTCACCACTGGGACCACCAGGGCTTCCCCACCAGACCACCAGGGATTGCAGGAAATGTCCCCAATTCCAGGAAAAGGTAAGCAGGGAGGGGGATATGAAAAGTGTTATTTTTAATTAATTTTTTTAAATATATTTATGAATTTGCTCTCCCACCCCCACAGACCCCACTTCACACAATAACTCTCCCCATACACTGCTCCCCCTACACACACACCCTGCCCCCATACACACACACTGCCCCCCATACACACAACTGCCCCCCATACACATAATTGCTCCCATACACTCTCACACTGCCCCCTCATACACACAATTATCTCCCCATACACACAATTATGCCCCCATATACACAATTATCCCCATACACACACACTGCCCCTCATACACACACATTGCCCCCCCATACACAAACACTGCCCCTCCATACACACAAACTGTATCCCTCACACACAATGTACCCCTTACACAACCTGCCCAACACACACACTGTACCCCTCATACAATCTGCCCCCACACACACACACTGTACCCCTCATACAATCTGCCCCCACACACACACACTGTACCCCTCATACAATCTGCCCCCACACACACACTGTACCCCTCACGCACAAGCTGCCCCACATACACACACTGCACCCCTCACACATGCACCACTCACACACACACCCATATTACACCCCTCACACAAACTGCTGCACCAATCCCCTTCTACAGCCCCTATCCCAGCAGATCCCAGGTAAGTTGTCAAACTGTTCTTAAACAGTTTTACTACTTAATCTAGGAGGGCTCTACAGCACTAATAGCACCAAAACCACTACAAAGTGCTGCAGTGGTTATTGTGCCTGGATTGCTTCTTTAAATAATCTACTAGTGCCCCTCCCAAGATTAGTTTCTGGATCTGCGCTTGAACGGCAAGCATTTCTGCCAAACAGGGGCGCATTATATGCCGCTGCCCTGTACATATATACAACCTAGTTGTTGTTT